ACATGGCCAGTTGATGAGGGGGTCACTGAGGCTGTGTGATCAGGAAACGGCAGCCAGTGGGAGGGAGGAAAGTTGGGATTCTAACGAGAAAGACAGAGAAGCTCTCGTTCATGCCTCAGCCTGATTAGCGCCTGGTCTCTGAACATACACACACTGCTAATGAGCTCTTAGTCTCAGATCAAGCGATGTGCAGGGATGAGCTACAGGGTTGGAATAAAGATAACACTGCAGAAGGCTGTTGTCCCTGAAATGTCACGTTTTAACTGACACTCATCTCAGAAAGCGAGTCTCAGCTGTTGCTGGCAATTCCCAGGAGAGTCAATCTGCTCCACCGCTGACATGCTAGGAGCCCGGGGAAGATGCTGCTTTGTGCACCCAAAACAAAAGGGTCACATCTCTGTGGGAAGTGAAAACTGCCCTGCTGAAGCTGTGGAGGGTTTTATACTGTGATAGAAAAGCAGGCCATCCAGTCCAGCCCCTTTCTCAAGGCAGCATCACCACTCACAACATCATCACAGCCAAATTTTAGGAGACTGCTGTTGCCCCCAGGACTGATGCAGTGGGGGCTCTAGCTGCACTCCAGACCTCATCACAGAGATCGAGAGTCCCTATGAAGACCCAGGTCCTTCCTTGTACCCTGCCACGCTCTTGTCCCTAGGGAGAGCACAGCAATGAAGTCCACTGGCTAACCGAGGGGGGTAAGGTTTATGTTATTGGCTTCCACCCCAGTTTCCCCTTGTTCTTGTCCTCTGGGACATGGGGAAGATGAGCACCCCATCCCTCAGTCTGTCCTAGGGCCTGGGATCAGGACAGACCCTGGGAGAAGAGGGCCACTGACCTTTCCCACAGCCGTACTCCTGTGCTGTCCTGGGCTGGGCATCCCCAGCCTCAGGCTGTGGAGATCCCTAGCTGCAGGCTCAGCTCCTGATGGTATCCTTACACCAAGCAAGCCTGGCAGGGAGGGAAGGGCCTGGTGACAGCTCACAGCTCTGCCATCCAGAGGAAGGATACTTCCTACACTCAATCTTAGTCCATGAGAGGCCAGGCTTCCTAGAGGATGGGGGCTGGGCTACTAGGGGCAGAGTGGCTGGTCGGGGGTCTCCCGTGAGGGTTGAGTGTTCCTGCTCTTCACCAGGTAACCATGACAGTCAGGAAGGACCTCCAATTTGATAACGTGGGAAATAGCTCAGCCAGCAAGGAGGAGGCTGCTGCCCTGCCAGCCTCACCCCTCTCACCTGCTTCATGTGATGTGGGGCCCAGCTCCCAGCTCTGGGAGTGGAGGGACTGGGTGGGAAAGGCGTGGGGAGGATGGGATATGGCAGCTGGGCTCTCTCCCTCACACTGGGCTGCGTGACAGCACGGGGCCAGGGCTCCTGCGTTCTGTCTCTGGCGCTGGGAAGGGGGCAGACTGGTGGGTCAGAGCAGCAGTGGCTGGGAGCCAGGGCACCCAAGTTGCACTCGTTTTGGGGCCAGCAGCCTGGCTTGCTAGGCTGTGTGCACCTTGGTCCCTCTAGCAAGGGGTCCTGCTCCCTATCCCGCTGACCAGCACTGAAAGCAGAGAGAGGCACCACCCTCGAGCAAGCCTCAGACATGCTCTATCCACTTGCTACTTTTAGCTTTACCCTTGCATGGCTGTATTGCTGCTGTGGGGAGGCTGGAGCTAGCCCTGGGGAGAGCTGCTTGCAGCCTGGTGGAGAAAGGGGCCATGCCACCCCTGTGCTTTGCCAGCCCCAGTGCCAGCTCCCTGTGGGCAGATGCAGGAGCTATGCCCAGCCAGAAATGTCGGCATGGTACAAAGCAGCTGCAGACAGATGCTGTGAGAGACACTTGTGGGCAACTGCCAGCAAGGGACTGGGTATCTGGCTCCTCCCTTTAGCTGATGGGGGTGCCTGCAGGGTATGGTCTGTACCAGGGTAATTGGCTCTTGTACCAGGGTAAAGGCAGGACCGCCTGGGTCCTCTGCTTCTCCTGGATTGGTCTGCATTTGCCCAGCTCTTGCTCATCTTCCTCCCCCATGACTATGTGTGACCCCTTGTCCACTCAGGGAGGGGAGCCCAGGGCAGGAAGCCAGGATGTCAGGTTATATCCCAGCCTGGCGAGGTGATTTTTGGCAGGCCCCTTACCTTGGTTCCTCCACCATCCTCATTGCTCTTGCTGAAAACCCAGGAAACAAAGGGCCTGAATGGCCTTGCCACCTGCCCAGGCACAGGCCCCATGGCTTTAGCTGCAGGAGACAGGGCACCTGGAACGCTGTCTCCTGCTAGCCCAGACTGGCCTGTTGGCACGTGTGGCCCTCACCTCAGGGTGGCTCCCCGATCCCAGCTTCTGCAGATGCATCCAGCTCCAAGTTGCCAAGCCTAGTCGCCATGGGGCGAGATGCCAGCATCCCAGGGCGGCTGTGTACTCTGTTCCTTCTAGTACCATTAAATCGGGCCTTGTACCAGGTGTTAATTCCAAGACTAGCCGAGGACATGGTTACTCCTTAAACAATCACAAATGTATTAAGCATTTAGCAGTTACAATTCTATTACTGTAGTTAGCCAAAAGCAATGCACCATGCTCACCACCCCAAGAGATAACAAACACAATGTCACTGGTTGATCAGGCGGTGTAGTCTTGTTCGGGGTTCCCGACTCCTTCATCCGAGTTCTGCATCTTGGATGGGTGGCCAGATCTTTCAGGAGTAGATACTGAAGGGTTTGTTCTGTCTCCATTCTTTATATACTGTATAGCTTGCATTTCTTCATACATAAAATTAGCTTAAGCCTTCCTCCTAATGCATATTAGTAATTTTGCTTCTGTTTGCCAAATATGGTTATCCTTAACTGAAATTTTCTATTCTGAGGTAATCTTCTCATTCTTAGGTGTGGGTAGGTTTTGCTCTGACTGTTCCTCTTTTGCCCAGGCTATGTTCAATTTAGTTAGCTAACTTCCGGATTCATTTTAAGTCAGAGACAGTATTTTTCCAACTTGCCCCTTTCACTAGCTGCAAGTCTCGACCACAATTCAAGCTAAGCACACAGCTTAAGCTAAGCACAAAGGTCAAAACCTGAGTCCCAACAACTCAGAACAGCCCCAGGGCCTTCACCTGTGGCCCTGGCTTGGTGCTGGGTCAGGCTACAGCATCAAACATGTGACTGGAGCACAGGACTGCCTGTGGTGCAGAAAGGAGAGACCCAAGCCTGGGAATCTCTGATCCAGTGCCCTAGGACTTGGGCAGTGGCGACGCATAGCAGGTGTACGGGGGTGCAAGTGCACCCCCTGAGAGCGCCGGTGAGCCCCCTGCAAGCGCTGGCCAGGGAGTGGAGTGCCATGGCACTCCCAGAAGCCACCACAGCCACTTCTTGAAGTGGCCACAGTGATCAGCCACAGTGATCAGCTGTCTTGCAATTGGCCATGGGTGGACACCCCCCTGGTCTGCGGGATTGGCTGAGGGGGGACCCCTTCTCCCCATCAGTGAGACTGACCACAGGGGGAACCCCTCCCCAGTTGCTGACTGGTCACTGGGGGGGGCACATGCCCCCCGTGACTAAGACGGCACCAGTTGCCCATGGGCTTGGGAAGCAGAAGCAGGCTGCTGGGGTGGAGTCTCCTGGGGGCTGGCAGGGTAGTTGCCTGGCTGCTATACACCAGCTGCAATGCTGTGTCCTTGGGCTCAGTGCCTCCTGTCTCCCACTTGCAACTGAGTTTGCAATGGCTCAGCAACACGGTGCATCTTGACAGGCCCTGTGTCCTTTGGGTAGCCAAGGTGACCTCTGACCCTGTCACCCATGCAGGGGACTTTGGGGCCCTGTTTAGGACAGTGTTGTGTTGCAGGGCCACAGTGGGGCTGTGTGGCTGGCCTGGCCATTGCCCCAGCAGCGGGACCTCTGGCAGTGCTCCCCAGGCTGTGGGGTCACTCTAGCACCCTGGAGCATCCCCAGGCTTCAGGAGCAGGCTGTGCTGAGGGTACACACAGCTACCCCAGGTCACACCATGATGGATGCTGCTGTGTGGCTACAGCTGAGCCATGCTGGCTATAACTAGGCTCTGGCAGCTGTTCCCAACCCATGGCTGCACTTGTGGAGGGGAGGTAAGAGTAGCTGGGCACAGTGAGGACAGCCAGCAGAAGGTACTGGGCAGCAGTGGGACATGGTACCTACCAAGCACAAGCAAGTGGGAGGCTACACAGCAAGTCAACTTCAGAGCTGTCCAGTTTCTGGGGCAGGATGGCTTGAAGGGCCCATTCCTAGTTTGGTCTGCAAAGCTGTAAATCCAGCCCCTGATGGTAGCAACCCAACGCCTTTCCACCAGGGCCTACTGGGAGGCCCTGGGGACAAGGGACACGTCACTGCTGGTGCTCACGGTCAAAGCCAGGACCCACAGACATCCCAGGCAGTGTTTCCAGGGCAGTGTGAAACCTTAGTAGACTCCAGGCACAGCAGAGGGGACAAAGCCTGAGTTCCTCACTTGCCCCACCTGCCAGGTCAGAGGCCACATGCAGGTGAGCATGATGCTTTCCTTGCCACTGTTAGACAGCCTGTGTGGTGGGTCAGTAAGGGGTGCTCCTGCACTGAACCACCCATTTCACTGTGCCCAACCACCTACCAGGCTCCGAGTGCCTCCCTGGGGCGCCTCACACCTGGCTGACCCCCTTCCCAGAGCACACCCGCGAGCCTGGGGTCACCGCTGCCACCACCCAGGTGTCTCGGTCTGTCCGGTGGTCACTTGGTGGTGCGGGCCCCTGCCCCAGGCCATGAGGTTAGTGCTAACACAATAGAGAGTTGGAGTTTTCCCCTGTGGCTAGTTGTAGGGCCTCATGTCCACAGGAGCAGGTCCCCCCCCAGCAAAGTTTGAGGAGATACTGAGCTGGCACTCTGCCACAGCCTGCACCCTGGGATGCTCTGCAAAGCCCTCATGCCTCTCGCCCACAGCTGACCCAGGGCAAGGGGTGCTCAGATCACATTTTTTTTGGGAAAACGCAGCATAACAAGCCCAGGCCACGCCTGTCCATTTGTTCCTAGAAATGTCAGTCTTTATTAACCACGCAGCTGTGCCGCTGCCCAGGGAGCATGTAGAAAACCACCACGCTGGGAACACATGTCTGCAGTTTAGTGTTTTAGAGCAGTTCGTCCGGGGCGTTATCCGCACGGCACGCACACGGCTATGTACAGGTATACACAGTGCAGGAACCGCCTCGTCAGCCCAGGCGCCACTGCAGGAGGGCAGCCTGGTGCAGGGGACTGAGGATGCCGGAGTTGTGGCCCGCGGGGTTCATCCGTGGGGCACCCCCCCGGCTTGCAGAAGTCTCCCCTCCTCCAGGAGGCTTTGGCAGGCAGGGGTGGGCAGGGTATTGGGTGGGTTACCAAACATGCAAGAGAGTTAATCCACGAGTGAGAAGGACAGACCAAAGGAAGAGGGTGGAAAAGAGAGACCTCGGGGTGGGGGGAATGGACGGGGAGTTGCCGTGTGACGTCATTTGTACTCAGTCACAAGGAAAGACGAGAAAACGGCCAGATGGGAGCCAATCCACGAGGAGCCGCTGGGAGTGATGTCATCCCAGCCAGGGGCTTGGTGGGTGGGGGGGTCTGGATGGTGTAACTCCCACAGGGCGCCTGGGCAGGGGCAGGGGCAGGCGGGGGGTTGCTGTGGGCTGCTCTCCTTGCCGGAGCGGGCTGGCCCTGGGGAGGAGGGGGTTAACCCATCCTGCCAAATCCCAAAGTCATTGATTGTAATAAAAAAATTACAGCTGTGCCCGGGGTGGGCGGGGGGGAGGGAGGGGGGGTAGCACGATGATCACGCAGTGGAAGGTACCGTTTCCTGGGGCTTCATAGCAGGGCTTCGAGCTCGGGGGGCCTAGCGCCCTGTCCACGTGGCTTCCCTATCCCAGCAGGTCTGTGGCTGAGGGACGTCCTGTCTGCCAGGGGGTGGCTGCGGCTGTGGGACCCTGGGCAAGGACCACACCCAGGCCTTGGCCGGGTCCCTCGGCCTCTTGGGGCATTGCTCTCAGCTGCCCGGAGCCCTGTGTCACCTGGGGCAGCAATGGGCTGCATCCCCTCTCTGCCCAGAGCCACAGGCAGTGGAGCAGGGTGGCTGGGCTGTGCACAGGCAGAGCAAGGCACTCCCTGAGCAGGGCACCCTTGCCAACAGGCTGCCCCTTCCTCTGCCTCAGCCTGGCAGCATCTCCGTGCGCTGGGCTTGAGGCACTGCAGGGCCGACGTTCCCGCCTGGTGCTCCTACCTGCAGCTGCACCACACTAGGTCTGCAGCCATGGCAAGGGAAGGGGCCCAAGCCGATGCACACAGCCTGGCCCTGTGTTGGGCATCATCCGTCAGCCACGGATGGGCCAGAGAGCAGCTCTCTGGGATAGCCAGGACGGCGAGAAGCCAGGAGGATGGGGCGGGGGCAGTGTCCCAGGGGGCAGGACACCTTGTCCCTTGTGGTGGGTCATCACTTGTCCGAGTCGATCTTGATCATGTTCATCAGGGCGTTTTTGAGGCTGTTCTTGCTGGGGGACTTGACGGCAGGCTTGAGGCCGGCGGCCTCGGGCTGGTCCCCCCGCAGTTCCATCTCGATGGTCATGACAACCTTTGAACTGCGGGGGGACTCCTCGCCCGCCTTGGCGGTACCTTCCCTGCCTGCTAACCGCTATTTCTTGTCCTTGCGGGAGTCACCCAGGCCTCCCTTGCCTTTCTTCTCGCTGACCGCCTTGGTGCTCCGGCTGTGGTCCAGCATAGCGTACAGAACGGGTGCCTGCGGGGAGGGGGCAGCGGGTGAGGCCTGGGCCACAGGACAGGGTGCACGGGGGCTGACAGGTCACTCGTGGCACTGGGGCACGGCAGTGACTGCCGAAGCAGCTGTGGGGCCTTGACACTCTGAGCTGGCTCCCAGGGCTACAGTCCTCCATCCAGAACACCCCCATTGCCTTTGGGCCTGGCGATGCTGAGGGACCTCAAGGCGATGCTGGCTTCAGGGAGAGCGGAGGGCATGCACCAGCTCACAGGACTGGGCTTCGCCATGGGGCAGGCCGTGCCAGATGACCCCTGACTGCATCTTCACCTTGAGGATCCTGCGACCTATCTGGGCTTGAGCTGCTCCCACTGACGGGTTTCTCTGACTCGAGGGAGAAGAGCCTGCTTCCTTCTTTTCTGCACCCCGATATCTTCCAACCACCCAGGAGCTCCCCCAGCCACTCAGGTTTGGTCCTTCTGGGGAGCCAGGAGATGTGGGCTTGGGCCTCATCTTCTGCTGTCTGGGAAGGACCCGGTGCCTTTCCCCACCCCTTTGCTCCCCCACCTGCAGAGTCCCCAGCTTCCCGCCGCTGTGATCCACAGGGCTGAAAGCTCCTCTGTCCCTGCCCCTGAGACCTTAGCCGCCTCCCTGCCGTTCCCAATGCCCAAGGCTCACCTGGCGGCCGCGCTTAGAGGAATCCTTGCCTGCCCTCTGCAGTTTGCCTTTCTCCATCGCGCTGGAATGAAACAGAAACACCAAATGCCATGAAGCTGGACATGGCTGCATGGCACCTCCCTGACCCCAACCTGCCTTGCCGTGGGCTGGAGCCAGCACAGGCCTCCTAGGAACCTCGCTTGGTTAAACACGTCCAGGGCTGTAGAGTCTGCGCCCCTCCCTTAGCCAGCTGCCCCAGTGGTCACCTCTCCTCAGTGTTAATGCCGGGGGCCTTCCTTTAGGTTGGAAGCTGTCTGGACTCACTGGCACCTGGTGCAACATGTGCCATGGCACTAGCCCCAAGCCCCCGCAGCATGCATGCACCCTGCCCCTCACCTGAGCCGTCTCTGCAGGGCTGCCTGCCTCCGCAGCCAGCAGTACCGGATGAGGTAGGCGATCACCACCACAAGGAGGACCAGCAGCAGGACCCCGCCAATGATGGAGCCCAGGACCATACCGTACCTGGTGGGCACTGTGGGGACACAGGGCCTGTTACAAAGGGATGTGGAGCACACAGGAGCCACCTCACTGGGGCTCAGCTGCAGGCCGTGTCTGGGGTGAGTGGCTCTGCAGGAGGCAGACAGGAGCCCAGCATTGCCCTTCTGCAAGGGCATAGCTTTGGGCTTTGGGGGAGCAGGTCCAGCTCTGGTCCTGTCACTACCATTCATTATCTGTGCCCAAACAGGGACTGGGGCCCCATTGGCACAGAGCTAGAACCAGTCCCTGCTCCAGAGAAACCAGGGCACAGGGATCAGGCCAGTAACCACCAGCCTCAACCCTGCCCAGGAAGAGGATTTCTTCTTGGGAAGGCATGTGCTGGGCTTCCCTGTTGAACCCCAAGCTGAGGGGGGGCAGGATCACGGGTAGGTGCATGGGGGCTACGTGTGCAGCTCAAACAGGTCTGGCTGTGGGTGTGAGGGCAAGGGTGGGTGTGGAGGGGTTGGGTGTGAGGGGCAGGGGCTGGCTGTGGGTGTGAGGTGGGTGTGGAGGGGTTGGGTGTGAGGGGCAGGGGCTGGTTGTGGGTGTGAGGGCAAGGGTGGGTGTGGAGGGGTCAGGCGTGAGGGGCAGGGATGGAGGTGGTCTGAGGCAGGCGTTGGTGGGGGACCTCAGCATGGAGCTCTGGGCTGTGGTGCCCTCCAGCCCGTACCTTTTTCAAAGACGTAGAGGGTGACCTGAGAAGACTTGCCCACGATGTCGGGTGGGTTCTTGACATCGCAGGTGAAGGTGCCATTGTCTGTGTACTGCAGGTTGTGGATGATGATGGAGCCGTCTTTGTTGTATGGGTTGCCCACCCACTCCATCCGCTCCTTGAAGGTCCCCACGTCATCGATGTAGGGCTGCCCCTTGGCATAGTGGAATATCTAGGAAGGGGCATGAGAAACCGGTGAGAGGCTGAGCACAGCCAGAGGGGCTGGGATGGATGGACAGACAGATAGACAGAAGGGCTGAGATAGATGGACAAATGGGCTGAGGAGCCTGCCTGTGTGGCCAGCGCCTTACTGTTATGCTGTCCCTGGAGCTCTCAGGCTGGAAGTGCCAAGTGATGGAGATGTCCTCAGAGATCCACTCGCTGGACCAGAAGCTGCAGGAGAGGGTGATGTGGGAGCCCACAGTGCCATGGATCTCGCGGTGTGTGTACACATGGATGGCCAGGGTTGGAGACAGCACTGTGGGCAGAGGAGGACCAGGTCTTGTCAGCAGGCCGGACCCCAAAACCTGACCCTGGTGCGTGGCCCCAGGGTGGGGAGGAAAAGAACTGAGCAGCAGAGGATCATCAAGGGGATCCCTCCCCTCCCCTGCTGGTGGGACCGTGGGCTCCAGCACCCCGATCAGCATCACCAGTGCAGGAACAGCCTTGTTCCCAGGCACACTGCCAGGAATGGAGCCCTGAACCCCTTGTTCAGGCCATGACCCTGATGCCGCCCTCCCTGACACAGAAGCAGAGTGCTCCAGCGAGGCAAGCCCTGCTCCAGGCAGGGGTGAGGCCGGGGTAGGCAGGAGGCTAGTGCCAGCAGAGGCCACAGCAATAGGTGCAGCTAATGTGGGACACTTCTCCACTGCAGCACCAGTGCCCTCCACATCCCATGAGGCACCTGGCACTGGGGCCCAGCTGGGCATGGAGGGTTCCAGGAGCAGCCGTCCTCCATGCCAGGTGGCAGGTAGCAGGTGAGGCCCCCGGGCTGGGAGAGCTGGCCTAGCCCCTCTGTGGGGGACCAGGCATCTCCAGCATGAGACACAGGAACACAGCTCCCTCCAACCCATGCGCCCACCTGGCGGGAAGCGTGCCGGAGCCCATGCCAATCCCACGGCTGGTGGCAAAGGCCCTTTGTCCAGGCCCAGAGAATGAACAAAGCTCAGCCCAGACACTGGCCCATTGTCTTTGCTCTTTGCAGCTTTGTCCTACCCCCGCCGGGGTGCTCCACTGGAGGAGGCTCCCGCGGGCTAATTGTAGCCACGGCTGCAGCTCAAGGGCCGCAGACACTGCTGCGTTATCCAGAACCACTTGCGGCACAGAGCTGCTGGCCCATCAAAGCGGGCTTTGTGCTTCTGCCGGGCCCTTGGTCCACCTCTGCCCTGGTATCAGATAACCTGCTGCCTCTGCACTGGCAGAGTTCACACCCACCATGCCCCACCCAGGGCCTCCCCACTCAGACCTTTCTCTGGGTAGGCCAGGACCCAGCAGAGGTTGGAGCAGCCCTCGTACCAGGTTGTCACGTATAGCACCTGGCACTGGGCACAGCTAATGCAGCGGGGCTGTTCTTTGGGCCCTGCTGCCTCCTGTCCCCTCAGGCAATCTAGCAAAGGGTGGTACCCACCTGGTGCCCTTGGCGCAGGAGCCTCATGGGCTCAGGGCTGGGGTCCTGGAGGCACCACAGGGCTCACTGTTCCCAGCTGGCGTCAGGGCTGGGCTGTCATGCACACACTGCCACAGGCTGGAGTTTCCCTGGCCCGCAGAGAATGGGGCTGTATGGACGCCTGCTGGCGATGCCCACCTGGGACCTGCCCTGTCCCACAGCAGACATGGGGAGGCCTAGCCACTAGGGCCCAGGGTGTGAGCCCTGCACTCAGCTCTGTCCTTGCCATGCCCCACTGAGGGCTGCAGCTCCTGGGATCAGGCAGCTGTTCAGGGGCACGGGCAATACTTGATGACAGCATGGGCCCTGGTTTCCCTGGTCAGCACCTGGGTGGAGACAGCTCTTGTAGCAGAGGCAGAGCTCACAGCAGAGGGAACTGAGAGAGGATGGGGTGTGAGCCCTCCTGGGAGATCAAGCATTTGCTGGCCTGGCGGCACAAGGTGGAGTGGGCTCCTGTCCCCTCTCCCCTTGGATGCTTGGAGGCCTCCCCCTCCCTTCCCCAAGCCCTGCTGGGAAATGTGACTGCAGCCATAGATGAGCAGCCAGACCACCAAATCTCCAGGCTGAGCAGGTGGCACTGGTGTCCCTGGCCATAGGCAGTGCTGCCCGAAGACCAGGGCCCGTGGAGAGGCATGCTGCCTTTGAGCAGCCAGGTTGGCCCTGTCAGCAGCACACAGGTGATTGCACAGACTCCTGGTTAGATCTGGCTGTGGGCGTGTAAGACCCAGTAGCCCTAGACCTGAGCCAGGCTGCCTGTTACGTTACACCCAACTAGTGTGGTTCAACAGGGAGCTGGACAAGTAGCTAAGGGCTCACACAAAGCCATGCCTGACTTCCCATGGTCAGAGGTGGGAGAGAAAACAACATGGCTCAGCTGTCCTCCTCTCCATACAGCCTGTGCCATGTGCCTGGGGGTCTCTAGGAAGCTGCAAGTACCCGTCCAAGATGTGCCATCCCAAAGGTTGGGACCAATCTGGCAGATCTCCAGGGCCTAACTGTGCAGAGAGATGTTCGGATGCTATGGGGAATCCTGTAAGATGCCTCTCTGCAACTCTGAGAGTCCAGGGACCTTGGGCATCTGTCCCTTGGTGTCTGTGCCACTCAGGGACATACCAGCCTTACAGCGCAGGCCTGCTACAGCCCAGGGAAAACAGACCATTTACCAAATGTCAAAGGAAAGGAGCAGTCCTTAGGCTCTCCCCCAGGACCTGCCACAGTCCCCAGCTACTGCCACCCACCCCACACTACAGCACTGCACAGCCTGGCTCTGCCTCCACTCTGCAGCAGAGCAGGTGGGAGCAAGTGCCAACAGCCCCTGCCTGGGGACACACCATGGGATGAATTGGGGGCACCCAAAACATTGCTATCCCAGGCCAGGCTCCTGCCCTACCCAGGGGCATCAGAGGATGTGGGAGGTGAGGGTACCCCCAAGGCTGATGCAGGGTCAATCCCTGTGCCCATGCTCCAGACTAGAGGGGGCCCTGAGAGGAAACCCTCATGCACAAGGGACAGGGGGGCTTGAGGCTAGGGGCAGTACCAGGGCGGAGCAGCCACACCTCGCTCCAGCATGTTTCCAACAGTCCCAGTCCTGACAGTACGTCCTGTCGCTGCCACCCAGACCTTCCCAGTAATGCCCCCCAGTCACCTCTAGCTTGCCTGCACTCCCTCTCCCAGCAGGGCAGCAGCACCAGAAGTTGCTCCTGGCTGTGGCGAAGGGCAAAGAGGGCCCTGGCTGCCTGGATGGGCCTTCACTTTCGGGCTGAGGTATGTGGCCTGGAAAGTGCTCCGGGATGCATCGGCTGCTGGCATGACAGCAGCAGGCACCTGCCTCATGACAGGTGCAGCCCCTGGGCTTCCAGGACAGTCACTGGCAACCTGAGCAGCGAGAGCTGTCCCCCAGCCACCAGGTCCTGGCTTGGGAGCTCCCCTGTGGTCCCCGGCCATGCACGAGGCAGGGTTTCTTCAGCCGCTCACTCCTGCCTCCAGCCTTTTTTCCTTCCCCACATCTCAGGGGTAGGGTTGGGTGGTCCCTGCTCCCTGGTAGGGGCAGTCTGTGCGGGGCAGCATCCCTCCCCACTCTCCTCCCCAGGGAGGGTAGATCCTGTAGCACGGATCTCTTCCAGTACCCCCAGCTCCGCGAGCAGCCACTCACCCAGCACGGAGAAGAGCAGCACGAGGAGGACGGAGCTCCCGCTCCACGAAGTGCCCGGGGACGTCATGGCTGGCTGTTACTGTACAATCCCGAGAGACATGGGAGGGTTGGTGGCCAGTGGTGGGGCCGGGAGCTTCTTGCCGAAGGATGGCTGGAGGGTGGGACCCTTGGTTTAAGAACAGCCAGTGTTTAGATGATGCAGGCTCTGCAAAACACCCGGGCCAATGGGAGCCTGGCATCTGGGTCCGTGGGGGAGAGACACACACACACAAAACTGAAAGGGGGCATTTTGTGCTGTGTTTGGGAAGGAGTGGTAAACAGGCTGCGGGCACATATCTGGGCACACAGACGGCTTTGTCCGGCAGCATTCCCTGATGCGGCGTGGGCGATGCTGCAGCCCCCGGCTGGAATGTGGAGTGAGCCAGAGGGCACAGGCGAGATGGCTCTCCCCAAGGGCTGCATCCCCTGGCCACAGGTGCAAAGCAGCCTGTGGGGCCAACCCCTGGCCTGGCACCTGCCTTGCTTCAGACCCATGCTCCAGGCCTCACTGCCCTACACCCCAGGCCACCCACACAACATGTTGTGGGACTAACATGATGTCCTCTTAGCCAGCAGCCTTTTGCACCTGCCCTGCGCTCGGTGGCTGTGACACAGGGCAGGGTACTGGGGAATGGGCCCAGCTCCCTCCATCCCCTGCGATGGTCAGGGTCGAGTGCCGTGGGGCTGTGGTCCCAGCACAGCTGCTTCCTGTACCACATCACTGCATCCAGGGGCTTCATGCTGCCTCCTTTGGAAGCCAGGCACTGTCTCCACTCCATCTGGGGGCAAACCCTCATTTTGGAGAGACTCCCAATGCCCTTAGTTCTCACTTGTCTCCCTGGCCAGGGCATCGACTGGCTGCTGGAACAGGCTGCCCTGACGGGGAGTGGCTTGGAGCAGGGAGATGTGTGGGCCAAGCTGCAAGCTGCCCTCAGCCACCCTGTGCTGGGCACGGTACTGCCTGTGGGGCATCCTGGCCCATCTGGTGGCTGGCCCCTCTCTGGGTCCCTGGACTCCCACAGGCCTGCCCTCCACAGCTAGCCTGGGACCCTGGTGCCAGTCTCTGCAGGTTGCACAATGGCGCACCTTATCCCAATGCAAGTGTTGATCCAGCCTCCTAAGCTATGCACACACCAAAACTGGGGCAAGACGCCCCCCACCCCCAGGCCACCATCCCCAGAGCCAAAGGAGCTCAACTGGCTTTGGGTGAGACAGCAGGTCATGTCCTCTCTGGAGCCTGAGGTGTGGACCCAAGCCTGGTGGTTGACAAAGCCTGGGGTGCTGCAGGTGTCTCCTTGCCCAGGGAGGCTGTCTCCCTGGTGCTTCCCTCTGCACTTTAGAGTAGGGGACCTGGATTAAGGCAACAGCACTGTCTGTGGGGTCTGGAGCTGGGTGCAGGACAGCAGGAGCAGTGCACAGGAGGCTAGTACATCACTGTAGGTTGGTGGGGGTCCCCCCACAGTGATGCTCCTGGAGGGCAGGGGGGGAGCTAGGGGTGGGCTGGGTGTGGGCTGGGGACACCAGGCAGGACAGAGCCCTGCTGCGGCTGAGGTTTTTATTACAGCCATGGGGCAGAGGTGGGGATGCAGCAGGCGACAGCGGTCGGTTGCAGACCATCCATCCTCAGAGCTGGCAGGGATGACTTGGCTAACTGAAGCAGGCTGGGCCTGAATGGGCAGCAGCATGGTGGGGAGGGGAAGAGAAACGGCACAGAGTAACTTTCGCATCCTGGGCTTTGCACCTGGGTATTGCTAGGGCTTGGCTGCGCAGGTCCGAGGCAGCACAGTACAGAAGAAATGCACACACACATCAACACACACATGCACACATACAGGTGCTGGACTCTCATGAGGAGCTGTTCCCAGACCAACATTCATTTTTCCTTGGTCCCTGGGGCAGCCTGTTTTGGGCGATGCTCCACTCTACCTGGGAGCCACGGCCAGGAAGCACTCCGCTCTGAGGACAGGAGGGGGCAATGGAGCGAGGTGCACAGGTGAGAACCAAGGTATCCAGGTTCGAAGGGTGCGGGCTGAGCCTGACCTGGGGAGCCAGGACTCCTGGCTTCTCTGCCAGGCTCTGACATTGGCTTGCTGCGCCATCCCGGGGACATGCTTTCCCTGTTCAGAGCCTCAATTTCCCCCTCTTTAAACAAGCAGGACGATGCTGCTGGCATTTGCAGGGCTGTGCACGTTCAGTACCGATGCAGCAGGCTGTGCGGCTTCTCGGATACTATCTCTGCTCGCTGGCGGGTAGTGTAGCTTTGTCCTTGAAGTGCTGGCTCTGAGCGTGGCCACGCAGCCAGCAGAGGAGATCTCCACACCTGCCAGGCATGAAATGGGCTGTGCAAAGCAGCCAGTCCACAGCTTCTTGCTTGGAGGTCTCAAATGCCAAGTGGAGGCTGCCCCTGGGGTGTGTGCAGCCTGCCATTTCCAGTGAGGGGGAGGAAGCCCACAGTGCAGCTTCCTCCTCCCCAGCCATGGGCCCAATCTGGCCCAGAGTTAAATGACGCCAGTGATGGAATCTGGGGACATTGGACCCAGGCTGGGCTGTGGCTGCTGTGAATGGTCCATGATATCCCGCCTTGGTTCCCTGCTGCTGGGCTGCCCAGCGCTCACAGCTGGAGACAACTCACCCTGCAGGGTCTCGGGGCCATGTGAGGCCAGTTCAGGCACTGGTCTGACTCAGAGACCCTACAGACTTTGTGGGAATGGAGGGTGCTGAGGGGATCAGGAGTCTGGTGTGCTGGGCTAGGTCCCAGCCCGATCCTAGAGCCTCCTCTGAAAGGGTTCCCCAGTCCCTGCAGGAGCCTGGGCAGCGCTCAGCTGGATCAATGTGCTCAGCACAGGGGCATGGGTCTGCCCACAAGGATCCCTCTGCCAGATCAGGCCTTTACTTTTGCCCCACCCCACCGGACAGCACCCCCATGCTCGCTGCTTTTCTCTGAGCTGCTGAGGCCTGAGGAGAAGAGTCCTTGTCTCACCTGGGTCAGGTGCTGGACCTGCAGGCTGTCTGGGCAGCAGCTGTGCCAGGACAATCCTAGAGGCCTGGCAGTGATAGCAGGGATGGACCCCTGGGCCACCTGCCATGGCACCTGGCACAGGCTCCTGGTTCCCCTGCCACCACTGGACTGCGAGCCTCCCCTGTCCAGGCTTGGACTCAAGAATGACCTCCCTCCTCCTCCTCCCAGGGCGCCCAACTCACGCCTGCAGCAGAGCAGGACTTGCACTGGCTGCCTGTTTTCCCTGGCCCAGAACCAACCCGAATCAAAGGCTGCAGTTGTCACATGCTCAGCACCAGCTGCAGCCCCACTTGCCTGCCAGCCCTTCACAGGGTGATGTGAAACACTTTCTCCCTGTTAAAGGGTCTTGTCCCTCCGCTCAGGGTCAGGGTTCATGGTGTAGTTTTGCTAGTCGCTTAGAGGATTAGTTCAGGATGGTTTGGACAGGGCTGATCCTCTGTCAGGCAGGGGTGGGGTGGACTGGATGTGACCCCCAGAGGTCCCTTCTGGTCCTGCTTTTCTAAATGACTCTGAGCCTGTGGCCCTCGCAGTGGGGTCTGTGCCATCCTGCTCCAGGGTTGTGGAGGCCGCTGGTGATGCTCAGCATTGGCTCCCCCAAGTCAAATGCCCCCCTGCTTGGCGCTGATGCTGAGTGGGCTGGAAGCGAGCTCATGCTGAGGTCCGGCTCCTGGTCTATGGGAAGGCGCCAAGATCCCTGCCAGCAGAGCCTGGGCACTCAGGCTGCCCTTGGAGCATGGGAGCCAGGGTCAGCAAGATGCACCGCAGCACTTACGGTCTGTGCTCTCTGGTGTACCATGACCTGCTCTTCCCAGACCTGACTGGGGCCCGGGCCCAGCACCTCCCCTAGTCTGGCTGCTCCTTGCTCCACAGTTGCAAATCCTGCCCTTCTCATCCCTGTCCCTGAACAGATAGCAGGAGGCAGTATTCACAGAGCAACAAGCCCAGCGGTCCACCCCCCACCCCACTACCAGCCACACCCTCCCCACCGCTTGGCCTTCCTGTCTAATTATGGAGGTAATTAGCTCTGCCCCATTCCCCTGGCTGCTTGGCATCTGGGGAGGTACTCAACAGCCCAGCAGGCTGCTCACACACTGGGCTCCTGAGCTAAGGAAGGCAACCGAACCAGCAGTGAGGGAGAGAGAACGAACCAAGAGAAGAGAAGGGGCGAGAGGATGATCAGCGGCACACACCCCATGACTCTGGGGGGCTCATGGAGCATGAGCAGCCCTAGAGCTGAGGGTCTGTGGTGGCCGGGGCCCTGCACCGAGCTGCGGCTGCTCCCACACGTGGGCACGGGCTGATGCATTCCACGGGCCGAGGGACGTGGGGTTTGGATTGACAAAGACAGCACTGTCTCCAGCTGGGCTAGTGCATGGGCGAGTCCTTCCACGTGTCCCCAACACAGGCCTTATCTACTGCTGAGCGAGGTGTGGGGAAGCTGGCGGGACGAGTGGCATGTCCCAGTACAGGATTAGCTGCGTGGAAGCAGGGGACTCGGTGCAGAGGAGGTCTCTGTAGAAGTGGGGTCTGGTACCAGGCTGGGAAGGATGCTGTAACCTTCAGGTTGGACCAGATCCCAGCTCCCTTCCATGCAGTCTCTTCTCTCCACAGGGCTGGCTGCTTTGGGGGAAGGTGCAAGGAACTCCCTCCTGGACCACAGAAAGCTGCCTGCTCCAAAGCCCTGGGCAGCAAGGTGTTGGCTCCCCACCGACCCTGGATGCTCTACTCCTGCCTGGCTTAGAGCTGTAATGTGCTGTGCTGGTACCATGGGCCGTAACCCAACAGCACAGAGCTGTGGATGCTGTCATCCCAACAGTGGAATTATACCAGGAACTCTACGGTGGGGAACTGTACCTTTCAGGGGCTCCGATACACCCTTATGAAGACTGTGGCCTCAGTTTGGGGTAGTCAGATCCACAGGCCGAATTGCTTTGTGTGCAAAACCACTTCCTTTTAACTGTTACTATTATTAAGTGTTGTGGTGGACCCAAATGGGCCCTGTGTGCAGTATGGAGAGCACCTGGCTGTCCCTGCCTTTACATTTGTTCTGTTCCATTAGAATCCCTTGCCCCTGCCTGTCCCGTCATGACTCGGGGCCTGCCCTATGCAGCCAGAGCC